TCATGTGCACTTGAGCAGAAGGTATATCCTGCTGTGATGGGCGGGGCGTCCTACGGATGCCGCTTTGGTCTAGGTGGTTATTAGTGTTGTTCAAGTCCTCTGGTTCCACACCAATCTTCTGTCCAGCTGTTATATCCACGACTGAAAGTGGGAAACTAAAATCTTCTGTTATTGTTAACTCATCTGTTCCCATCTTTATTTCTGTTGGTTTTGCTTTGTGTGTTTTGGTGCTCTGTTGTCAGTTGCATGTGTTTATAATCATTATATCTTCCTGGTTGACTGGCCCTATTATTATTATCAAGTGTTCTTCTTTACATCTAGTATCATTTCTAGTTTTAAAGTCTATCTTATCGAATATTAGTAATATTGGTGTAGATACTTCAGCTTTCCTGTGGTTGCTGTAAGGCTCTGCTTTGAATTCTCAAAGGTTTTGACGAACAGTGTCGGTCAGTGAATAAATTGCTTCGTTTCCTCCTTTTCGGCTCACATTTCAAATGAAATATTTCACCAGTCAGCAGACTCTCCTTGGGCACTAGGCATGGCCCACAACACGAAGACCTGCATGAGTGAAAACTCTCGGGTCTGGATAGAACCTGTTTGAGGGATTGCTTCATTCATTCCTTATTTCACGTCACCCTCAATAATCTTAGATCACATCCTCTCTAAAATAACCAGGAGTCAGCCCTGGCTGGTTTGGCTCAGCGGTTAGAGCATCAGCCTGTGGTCTGGAGAGACCCGGGTTCAGTTCCCGCTAAGGGCACGTACCTCGGTTGCAGTTTGTCCCCGGCCCCGGTTGGGGTTATGTGGGTGGCAGCCAGTTGATGTATCTCTCTCACATCGATGTTTCTTCGCTCTGTCTCTTCCTCCCTCTGTCCCACTAACTCTATGAATGCAAAAAGTGTCCTCAGATGAGGATTTAAAAAAATAATAATAATAAAATAAAATAAAATAACCAGGAGTCCTCATGACCATGACTGAAAGGTGAGGAAAATGAAATTACAGGGAAAAGAAATCAGGAAACATTTCTAAAAATCAGGGATAAATAAGTGCTAGTACCCTGGCTGGGCGGCTCAGTTGGTTGGAGCGCATCCCTTGCACTAAAAGGTTGCAGGTTGGATTCCCAGTGAGGACACTTACCCAGGTTGCAGCTTTGACTTCCACTTGGGGAGCGGGAGGCAGCCAATCTTTCTCTCTCTCTTTCTCTCTCTCTCTCTCTCTCTCTCTCTGGCTCTTTCCCTTCCTCTCTTTCTAAAATCAATTAAAAAAACAAAAAATCATAACCTCGGGTCTGGATTAAAAGAAAACACCAGCTGCTAGTAAACCAGATCCTTCCTCTTGAACCACTCAAGTCGGAAGAGCCGCCTGGACTCGCTGGGTCATCACCTGCTCGGAGCCCAGTAGAAGTCGAGGCGATGCGAGTGGGAATGGAGCAGAGTGGGGATGGCACCCTGGGCCTCTGTTGCCCTAATGTGCCAGAGTGATTGCAGATTTCAAAAGGAAGAAAGAGAACGTTAAAAAAAAAAAGTGCTATGCCATTTTGAGCAAGGTCCCTGCTCGATCTTCCTCTGCATGTGAACCCACTTGTTTTGAAGGATGACAGCCAGGTACTCCCACTGGGTGAGAAAACCTCAGATTCTGTGCCAGTTTCCTGTCACTGCGTTGAGCTCCGAGAGTTCAGAGAGGGGAGGGTGGCGTGACCTCTACCTCGCTGAGTGTTGGCACAAGTCCCTGGTGACAGTGTGTCTGCGCCGGGACACGGCACTCCTTGGAGCGCTCTTCCTCACTCTTTTAACCACGAGCCAGTCTGGCCTCAGGAAACCACTCTGCAGTGGTGGCTGGGTTTGGAAGTCATTTTTAATTTTGTGACAGGGGCAAATGTGTCCTATGGGAATAGTAAGTGGTTTTACTGGTGATATTAATGGAACCGTGACCTCTTCTGTATCTGTGGTCCTACAAAACAAAAAATGTTTGTATTCTAACATGTCAAGCAAGTTCATTCCTAGCCCTTCCTTGAAGCAAACTGCAGAGGAAATGTACTATTTATACGCCCAGAGAATACTGTGTGCGAGTGTGCGTGCACACCTTTATGGTCGTGAGCTCATCTGCAGGCGCCGCGGATTTATAATGCCACTGCAGGTGTGGCACAGGTGGTGGGCTCTGAATCATGTTCGGACGCACGCACGCATTGACACTCTGACATCTTTGACCGCAACTGCAGTGGGCTCCGTGCTGACATTAGTATGGCTTTTGAAGGCCAGTAGCTGTAGTAACACTCAAGTGTTTGGGGGATCCAAAGAGAAAGAAGAAATCCAAAGGCACAATGAATGAACCTCTTCTGTTCTCATTGAGATTGACATTCATTAGCCCAGAAACCACTACGCTGATGTTTACTGTTTCCGGCGGGAACTTTCATGCCAGTGTCCTTGGTTGAAAATGGTTGCTTAAGGGGATAGTAAATTAAATGTGAAGGATTTACAGTTTAGTTACATGAATTAAACCATTTCCTGGTGTTTGTGTTTACCCTGGGACTCACAAAGGAGACAAAATATAGACTCACAGGAGGAAGGAAAGGAATGATCAAATCCCAATAGTCTCTGCATGGTTGTCTAGCTCAGCAACTTTATTTAGGGGAGGAATTTCGTGCTGATAATGCATCTTTGTCCCTGTTAATTGGCCTTTCCTCCCGGCAGATGCACTGCACACACGCGCCTTCCTAACAGACACAGACCTGAACTGCGGTCGCTCCTGTCTCCTGCGGTTAGCTGTCAGCTTGGACAGAACTAAAGCCGATCCAAGTTTTGTAGTTCTCCTCAAGTAAAAATGGATGGTGCTTTATAATTTGAGACCTAAATTCAGTCATTAAAAATGTTATTAAAAAACAACATACACTCTGTCTAGAAAATCTGACAAATAGAGGAGAAGGTAAATGAGAAAATAATCCCAGAAGCCACTACCCAAAGATAATCATGAACATTTTAGTATATGCATTTTGTCTTTTTTTGGTGCTATTATATGAATATATACTTATGCTTTTAATAGTTAAAATCGTGAGTATAATTTGTGATTTTTTAATATTTTAACCCCCTCTCTCCGTAAGTTCAGATTTCTCATGATAATAGTTTAAGAAGTCACAGCTAACATATATTGGTGCTGACCATCTGCTAGGCCCCATCCTAAGTGCGCTCCATTCATTCATTCACCTAAGCCTCATGAGAACCTGTGACGTGGGGTTCGTGAGCGGCGCCGAGGACACAGCCAGCTGCCGAGGTCTCACCAGGCAGGGCAAGCCGGGATCCGCCCCGCGGAGAAGTGTGTGCTCTGGTCACCAGGGTCTGCTGCCTCCCTGACCCCCTGCTGGCAGGCCCTGCCCCACGCTGCCCACCCCGCCCTGCCTCCTCTTCTCAGAATTCCTCTAACTCTACTCCTGTGACATGCTGCGTACTTTCCGGGACGTGGGAAGGCCAGCCCAGGCTCGGAAAACAGTTGCCACCTACAGCCCAGCGGCCCTGGGAGCCCTCCCTTCCGAGAGGGCCGGGGGTCCCGCCCCAGGGGAACTTGGCCCCCGCCTGCTGGGCTCGCGTCACACGGCTCCTCTCGTCTGGTTACACCACTGTTTCGCATCTACAAAGTGATGGGTGCGGCAGCCCTTCATTCATTATTGGCTCGTTCGTTCATTCATTTAATACACATTAGGCAGTATTCCTTTGTTTCCTCTCGTCTAAGAGTTCCTCACCCAGCGTGTGGCCAGGGAGGGAGCTGCCGGTCTCTGTATGTCTGTCTTCAAATGGCCAGCTTTTTATATAAACACACCCGTCGTATTGGACAGGGGCCCGCCTCACTCAACTGAAGTAATTACATCGGCAGTAACCCAATTTGACCCAAACGAGGCCACATCCTGTACTGTGGGGTTAAGACTTACACATATCATTTTGGGGGGCAACACAGTTCAACCCAATAACCATCTCTCGAGCCACCACTAGTCTAAGCAACCATTGCCTTTGTTCACCCACCTCGCTCCCCACGCAAGCTGCCTCCGCTCCAGCCTCATTAGTTCTTTCCGGTCTAGATGGAGAGAGATAATCGGGATTTCTGTCCATCTGGGCATCTCCGCTGAACCCAAGGGAGACGATGGGAACACAGTAACTCCTAAAAAGACCGCTGTCAGTGGATTACCGAGGACAAGGGCATGGTACATGAGAGGATGTTTCTAATAGGATCCGATGCTCATTCTAGTCCCAGAGCCATTACAGAGAAGATGACCAGGGGGCTTGAATCCTAGTGGCCTTTGAGACTGGCCAAACGCCATACTTTAAAGGGTGGTACCTTGGTGACGATTTAAAGCCTTTTCCTGACGTCCTCTCCTGGACTTGCTCGTATTTTCTGCTGGCAGGGAAGTGTGCATGCCAAGGACACAGACCTACTCCACGGATGGATGAACGCAGTCTTCCCCGAAGCTTCTCCAGCCTCTCCCCCTCCCGAACCTTTAAGTCATGCTTCCGTCATTCAAATGCTAATCCCCTCCGCCTGACACCTCCCACCATGCGCTCTCTGTCATCCAGGCTGCAGACAGCTGATCATTGCCCTTCCTTTGACTTCCTGCAGGCTCCAGGGGCTTCCAGAGGCATTGAGCATGGCGGTGGTGGGTAGTTAATGCAGAATAGCATCCTTTCTCTCTCTCTTGCATTTTATGGCTTTTCCCCATAGTAGTCTAAACATCTCTCCCCACACCTCCCATATCACTATTGCATGTTAGGCCATCAGGGCAATCTAATCGTAGCCCAGACCTGAATACGCAATTCAGTTTCTCTGGAGAAGCATTCTTTTTCTGGGTGGAACCACAGAGAGCCAGGTTCAGGGGCAAGAATGTGAGTGCATGGATTGCATTAGGGGGGAATGATGCACTGTGACAATGTCCATATTGCCTTGCCAGCTGCAGGGTCTAGATGTTTGCAGTATGATCATTTACATATACATTGTTTCTCCATTTTCTTCTCATTCAGACACAGATAGACCTTTCTTAGAGACGCACAGTGAAATACCTAAAGTGATACATGTGACTGAAGGAAGGGAGCTCCTCATTCCCTGCCGGGTTACATCTCCTAACATCACTGTTACGTTAAAAAAGGTAAAGGTGAGTGTTCTATGCTATTCTCAGAATATTTTTACTGCAAATGAGCATAATGCATTTTTTTTTTTAATTTTCTGTCCGTGGAATCATTTCCCTACAGACCTTTGGGCTTCTCAAGGGGCTGTTTTTTGTTTTTGTTTTTTTCTATCACGTACGTGCTAGAAGTGATACCCGTGCATGTACTTAAATGGAGTAAGATGAGAATGTCTTCAGCATAAATCTGTGTAACCAGTGAAAGAAGTAAAATCATGGAATTTTTGTATTTGCCACAAATCCAAGTGTCTGCAAACGTGAGAAGAAGCGATTCCATTGCTTACACCGATGAATGAGTGGGCAGAGCGGTGAATGCGGACTTTTGCTAAAGACAGCGCTGACTCCTGAGCTCCGCCTTCGGCCTGGGGTGGGAAGCAGGTGTGACAAAGGCTTTCCTCCTGCTGAGCACCCAGACTTAGCTCTTAGGGGCGAAAGGGGGAAGACTGTTATGAATGAGATTTTTCCTTCCTATTATGTTGTAAATTGTTCATGAGGATCAGGAAAAAGATTTAGGGTACAATTTAATAAAAACAAAAGCGAAACTTTGACAGCCTCACTAATTCATCAGCAATAGGAGTTTAGGAATAACTAAGACTAAGAATTAGATTAAAAAGCTCCTACAATGAAAAACTAGTGAGTCCTGAGAGCGTAGAGCTTTAAAAGAAAAAGTCAAGGCTGTCCCACCACTTAGCAACTACTGCAACTGGAGAAGTTCAGAGTGATTTTCAGTGTCACCTTTGACCCTGGAGACTGAACGGTGATGGTGTCTCCCTGTCTTTTTTCTTTGCATTTACTCTCCTAGCTGTTCATTTAGCCCTCAGCACAGTCCCTCAGACAGGTTGGGCTTCTCACACATCTGTGTACTGTTGCCAGAAAAAGTAAAATCCTTGTATGTCAGAGCTAGAAACAGCAGACGAGTCTGACGCCGTTGGTTGAAGGAGAAACTCGAGGTTCCCAGGGAGTAAGGACTTCCCAGGCCACATGCGGCGCTGGAAGCCATGCCTGACTTCAAGGGTGCTCTTGCCCCCCCCCCCCAATCTCCTACTTTGCATTGGAGGAAGCTCAGTATGGTGAAGAGCAGAGGCCCAGCCCTCCCTGCATGGCTTCTTACCATCCCACCTCCCTGCAGGACAAACTGGCAAGTAACTGACCCTCTCTACCTCATTTTAGAGGTGGGAGCGAGGACACAGCACTCAGCTCTCTTGGCTGTTAGGAGGGCTGAGTGAGGGGATCTGTGGGGAGCACTTAGAACAATGCCAGGTGTGAGGTAAGCCCTAACCAAGGGTTAGCGTTCTCATTATTTAACCTAGCAGTTTAATACTCCATATTTGATGATTATCAAGGTATGTTTTCAGTAGCAAGACATTACTCCTCTTAGTCCAACGAGTCCATTGTTACATGATTGATACAAAATGTTCCTGTTTCATGCAAGCCCCTGTTTTTTGCCCTAAGGTAGATCTGTTGCAAGGAACATCCCCAAATTTCCACATGTAAACTTTTTTTTGGTGGGGAGGGGGGTATTTCCTCTGTTTTTCTACCTAAGATCTATGAGAGCGAGAACAAAGTTCTAATAGGGATTCTGGTTTGGCACATATATACTGAAAATACCCTAATCCCCTGGCCGGTGTGACTCGGTTGAACATCATCCCATTCACCGAGAGGTCACCAGTTCGATCCCCGGTCAGGGCACATGCCAGGGTTGCGGGCTCGATGTCCAGTAGAGGGCGTGCAGGAGGCAGCCGATGGATGTTTCTCTCATCGATGTTTCTATCTCTCCCTCTCCTTTCCTCTCTCCCTAAAATCAGTACAAACATTTAAAAGAGCAAAGAAAATACTCTAACGTGTTATATATGTATGCTGACATGAAATTAATATAAGGTCTTTCCTTTCCATTTCTCTTACTGGGCCTTTTCTCCCAATTTGCCGCCCCCTCCCTCTCCCTTCCCACTCCTGCTTCGGTGGAGCCACAGAGGCTGGCGACAGGCCTCGGGGCAGTGAGGGCTGTGTCGGGCCGCCGCCGCCGGGCTTTCTACGGCCGCAGCGCTGCGCGGCGGGCAGGCTGCGGTGCTCTGCGGTGTAGCTCTTGTCAGCTAGAAACAAAGTTACTTGTCCGGGAAACCCTACTGGGGGCAGTGACGGACAGATTGGAACGAAATAAACACTTTAGAGGATTTTTACTGTTTTTCAGCTGTGCTGAGGAGGTCCGTCAGCAAACCCGTCTTTCAGATTCAGCACGTGATTATTCTGACATATTTTTAAAAGCATTATGATTTCAATCCCTGACTTAACTTTTTTGGAATTTTTCCCTTCATAGTCTGCACTAAGTTAGAAGAGAAAGTTGTTTCTCCCCACTGAATACAAAAAAATTCCTAAGTTTGCAGAGAGAGTCCTGATTTTACTAAAACATGAAATGCAGCTTCAGTCTCTTTCCGTTATTCGCAAACAGGATGTAACTCCTTTCAAACCCAAGGAACGTCAGGTAACATGTTCACACGCCCAGTCATATTCACTGGCCGACAGGCACTGGTGGCTTTGGAATAGACATTTAACCCCAGGACTGCAAATCTCACCCAGATTAGCTTCTTCAACAAGCAGCATAAACATGATAAATGGACAGAGTGATGGAAGGTGTACTTTTTAAAAGAAGATAGAAAAGATTCGAAACTTCTTCGTGGCAGTTTGGCCTTTCCTTTATAATGTCTGGTAGTAAGGCAATCTGTTTTTGTTTGTTTTTTTCCTTTTCTGAGTTGGGACAAATAATAGTGGCAGTCAGAGGTAGGGGCTGCCTCTGAACCCGGGCTGGCCACCTGGCATTAGGGGGTTTGGCAGGGCCCTCTCTGGAGCAATGCGTGAGGCTCTATAACATAGAATCCCCAGACAGACTGTTAATATTGTCCTCTTTAGAAATGAGGTCCTTGGGGCCTGGAAGCAGGCATGAGGGGAGAGTGAGATCCTGGTTCTTCTCTCCTGCTTGGACTCGCTGTGCTCGGGAATACTTCGAAGAACTGGGGAGCATCCGCCCACCGCGGTGCCTCTGGCCTCCGCTCCGCTGGGGGCTGTCTTCACCTCCGGCAGCCTCGGCTGGTGGGGCAGCGTGTTCCCTCCGGGGGCCCTCGGTACCCTCGGCCTTCTCACAATGACACTGAACGCTCCGAATCTCGGAGGATCGGGAGTGATTTCTGGGCCCCTGAAGACTGGCCGCTAGTGAATCATGTGAAGCAGGACAAGTGACAGCTTGTGAACAGTTCCTGATAAAGACATTCATGAGGACAACCTGGCAGCCCCAGGGGGAAAACAAAACAAAACACTAATTGGTTTCTCTCTTGAGTATCAGGTCAGTTTATTACAGAGGCTCTCAGAGGCCAGAGACAGGCGCCCACTAGAAGTCTGACATGAGGACTAGGTCCATCCGAGGTGGGTGCAGATTGTTGCTAAGGCTGATAATGATCATAATTACTTCCATTTATCATAATAAATGTATATCTTGCTACATGCAAAGAGAATTGAAGAGCCACTTATAACAAACTGGAAGTCCTACCTGTGCTATTTTTATGTTAGATGAAAGTTGTGTGTTCACAAACTATCGGTGAAAGACCGTTGTCACAGTGTTACGATTCTGTTAAAGCATATGTCTTCCTTTTCAGTTTCCACCTGATACTCTGGTCCCCGATGGGAAAAGAATAACCTGGGACAGTAGGAAGGGCTTTGTCATTTCAAATGCAACATACAAAGAAATAGGGCTTCTGACCTGTGAAACGACAGTCAACGGACATTTGTACACGACGAGTTATCTCACATACCGACAAAGTAAGTGATGCTCCAAAGGCGTGGACGTAACCAGAATGCTCAAGGGTTTAATCTGCTTAATGAAACCTTGGTTTTTAAACAATGTTTTGTCTTATGTTGCAGCCCACATAATCTTAGACGTCCAGATGAGTCCACCAAGCCCCGTCAAGTTGCTTAGAGGTCACACTCTTACCCTCAACTGTACTGCCACCACGCCCTTGAATACGAGAGTTCAGATGACGTGGAGATACCCTGGTGAAGTGAGTGACCAGTTTATTTCTTCTGTAGGATAGCATTTATTTTTAGGAAGTGAAATGCCTCTGTGTTTCTGCCATGGGAAAATTGGAATACCCTGACTCCTGTGGCAATTTGAGTGAATGAAGAAGCTTCGGGTTGAGTCTGGGCGCGTTCCTTGCCCGGCATTGCGTGAGTCTGACATGCATAGATAGGGTCTTTTGATGTCCGGAGGTTTTGTTTTGAAGTGTACAGACTGGTATTTCTATTGCGTGATTCTGGGTGGAAAAAAGGATTGTTTCATCCTTGGAAACCGTTCTCTAGGATTTAGAGATGAGAGAGAAATTTATCACTAATGCCAGGCGGAGACTATCTTTTGTAACAACAACGACAAAAAGTTGTTGTCGGCGCATTAGTTTAAGATACTGGCAGACAGTCAGGCACCTGATTGGAGCATGTTTGGGAAAGATAATGCAACCCAGCCACCCAGTGTTCCATGTGTTATGTGACAAAGGAGCAATTCTGCCCTTCAGAAAAATGAGAAGAATGAAGACTGAGTTGGGTTCCCTTACACAAATTAAACATCCTTGCAAACAATAATTATTTTTAAAATGTGCAAATGGGGAACCTATGATAAACCGTCCCGAAATGTTTGACAGTCGTTCTTGTGCGTCGGTGTGATTTATGCGCACACCCCAGGTACAGTCATCTGCTATGTCATTCAGATCACCCAGCCACCAGGCTCACTGACGATTAAATTATGTGCGAAAGTTTAATGCATTGGCCCCAAGCTACTGTTTTTCATTAACATTTCTTGCCATAGAAGCAGAATAACTTCGCAACAAAAAGGAGCAATCAGTGCCCTGTAGGAACACATCAAGGACTCATTAGTCAAAGTATTTACTAGAAAGCAGTATTGTCTCATTTAAATAGAAATGCTATGACTTATAGCAATATTTTCTGGGTTTTGATAGAAATCACATTTTCTGGATCAATCAAATATTCTGAGTAAATGCCAAGAGGGAAGAAACTTTTATCCCGTTAGTGTTGCTACTCTAAGTAAGAGTATGATGATACACCTATTGAAAATCACTAAAAGCTTCTAAAATGGCACTGTCCCGTAGAACTTCCTGCGACGGGAATGCTCTGTCTCTGCCGCCCAGGACCGTCACCACTAGCCACGTGTGGCGGGTGAGCACTCCGAAAGCCAGTGTGACTGAGGCACCGCATTTTTCATTCTGGTTACCTTGAACCGAAATAGCCACATGAGTGGACGGCTCAGTTCTGGGACACTGGGCCAGCTGTTCCCGAGGCAGAAGCGGCACTGTGACGGGGACCTGGAGAGGAGAGCGTTCTCCAGGGGGGCGGGAGGGCATAGCTCGACAGCTGAAGTCGCTGAGAGCCCCTCAGTGTGTTAGTTTAGGGGACCGAGTGCCTGATTTCGGATGTTGGAGGCTGACATTTTCTCCCCAGTTACTGCTGAGAAGGAAGAAAATGGCCCAAATGTGTGTCTGTCCCAATGAGGCAACACAAGGACAGGTGGGTAGGAGTGATTAAACATGGCACAGAGGAGAGAAGTTCGAGACTCAAAGATCAGTTCTGAACAGTTTCCAAAGTCTTTTTTCCATGCCCCCTCATGAGGAAGGATCGAGAGAAGGAAATAACATATTATGTGCTATAAAATGTAATGCTAAGAAAACAAAAAAAGAGGAAGGAATCATGGAAGGAAAAGGCAGTGTGATCTCATCTCTTGGAAACCAGAGCGGTCGCTGCAGGGTGCACAGTGCCGACTCCAGCCTGCCCTGGGTCCCCGGAGCACACGTGAGACGGCGCCCCTAAGTGTCCGCTGACCATGGCCATAGCTCCGCATGTCCTCCGATCCATTCTGTGTGACTTAGCAGAAATTGGCAAACATTGCTGAAATGGTGAGATAATGACGCTGGGAGTGTTACACCTTAGTAGCTGTGGCCAGGGCTCACTCTCTTTTCCTTGAATTCCTGTAAGAAGCACTGTCATGAAGCCAGATGCTAATGGTGATTATTGCCTGCGTGTGCGTGTGCGTGTGCGTGTGCGGTCCACACATACAGAACACGTTACTGTTTAGAGAGGTGTGTGTGCTGGTCGGAAGACTCTAGATTTCTACTCCGAAGACCCAGTTCTTGCCTACTTTGGCCAGTGTCTCTGACACTCAGTGTCCACCTGTAAAAGGACCATAGCCCTGCCAATCTGACTGGGTAGTGGTGAGAAATGACTGAGATAATGTATGTGAAAGTCCGTCTCACGAAGAGGAAGTGCTCAAAAAATGCCATCGTGGAGCGTATTTGAAATATCCAGACAGAGATGTAATTTCCAAACCTCTTGCTCCAGGTGGGTTTGCTTCTCAGCATCAAATGTTGATCTCTGTGATAATTCAATAAGTGCTGTCCCTGTACGCATGAACAATGACTACTTCTAATGTGTCACACATTGTCTTTCTAGATAAACAAGAGTGCTTCTATAAGACGTCGAATTGACCAAGGCAGTTCCTACGCCAATGTATTCTACAGTATCCTTGTTATTAACAAAGTGCAGAGCAAAGACAAAGGCATCTACTCCTGTCACGTGAAGAGTGGCCCATCCTTCAAATCTGTTAACACCTCAGTGCGTGTATATGGTAAGCAACTCAAGCTCTGCTTTCTAGTCCTTGTGGTTTGGGGGTAGGGGGCTCTATAAACCAGGTACATTTTCTTTTGTCCAAGAGGAACACTGTCACATACGAAGGCAATGTTGTTCCCCTCCTCCCGCTGCCAAAAAGCAAATCACATTAAGCGCTCTTCAAATTTGATGTTTTTGGATTGAACAGAGAATCTTTTCCTGACAAATGTATTTGTAGTTAATAATAACTCAGGTCACATTAAAATCTATATGAAACCCTCTATTTAGTGTTCCTTGTAAACAAAACAGAAAAATAGGATCATTTTTACCTTTGTTTTCAGGGGGAGTTTTTTGAGGTATTACTGTGATTTAGAGAAATAAAAAATGTGGTGTAACACATTATTTAGAATTGATGCTTTTTTATCCTTGGTTTTACTCTTAAGAGTCCTGATATTGTTGCTCAATTCCAACAGGCAAATTCCGTTAAGAACCCTCAAAAACCTAATTACCCCCACTGTTGAATAGACAGTGGGGGGAGCAGAAACGAGGGAACAATTCTGTCAATGCCTTTGATACTCTTGACTTTCTCCAGCTGATTTGTTATATCAAATTAGTTGATTCAGGGCGCCTGGGGCCACTTTCTCTAATTGTACTCATACGGCCTCTGGAGGTTTTTCAAAGTATCTTTCTAACTATGTGTTATTGTGATAGAGACACCGAAAGTGTTTCGCTCTCAGAAGGCCTGATCTGTTTTCATGCCTCTGGGACTTGCAGCCATTTGATTTGAAAGTTTTTCCCCAGTTAGGGTACTTGTCAATTATTTTATTCATTGATCACTATTTGGGCTCATTGATAGGCTTGACCGTAATTCAGCACTGTTTTTTTATTCATAGGTTAGACCCTCCTTTAATGAGGGAGGGAGTTAGATTGTTTTTGTTTTGTTTACGTATAGTCTTTTTTAATATGTTGATCACTTCTTTCAAAGATGAACCATTCATCACTGTGAGACATCGAAAACAGCAGGTGCTTGAAACTGTAGCCGGCAAGAAGTCTTACCGGCTGTCTATGAAAGTGAAGGCGTTCCCCGCGCCGGAAGTGGCATGGTAGGACCCAGATCATTTTCCTATCAGTTCACGATAAGCTCTGTAAGTCTGAAGGTGCAGGAGCTCACTGGCTGGAATTCCTAAAAACAATCAAGATAAGTTCCCCAGACAGCAGTGGCGGCTAAGACCCGGGTTGCGCCGGGCTGGGAGCGCTGCAGGCAGGAAGGGCTGGAGGAGGAGCTTACTGCCCCGAGCCAGGGGTCGGGTTTTCCGAACGTGCATTGCGTTTAGTCATTCATTCACTCTGACTACATTTCTGCATCTCTAAACCTTCCTCTGATGTCAACATCCTCTGAATGGAACATGTTGGGCAATGACTGGGAAGCCTCCTGAATAAATAACATGCTCTATTAACCCTGAAGAAGTGGGCCCTTGTGACAAGGCCAATAATTCTTTTATTATCTGAAAATAATTCTTTTATATACAGCTGGGTTGAAAGTTCCAGTCTTATTTTAAAATTAAACAAACATTAATAGAGACTTGTTCAGTCGCAGGGGTGGACAAATGCACCTACCTGAACTAATTACGTTTATTTTGGCTCCAAGTTTGCAGATTCAGAAACTCCTTAAGCAGTTTTGTTTTTTTTTTGTTTTTTTTGTTTTTTTTTTTAATGGTAGCACAACACCTGATGTAAAACAATGTAATCTGCTTATCATCTGCAGTCATTCTTTAAAGCACTTTTGAATGCCAATATCCTTGGCTCAATCCATTACATTTTAAACAAAGAGTGTAGTACAAAACTGATTAGGAAAACAGCCCATACAATATAGACGTCCTGCCATTTTCGAATCTCCTCGATCGGAGCTGATTTTGCTTTCATTATCAAATGAGCATTGTGTGTGCTTTCAGTTTCCTCAAATAGTTAATAGGTAATTAAAGAGAAACTTAAATCTGTGCTATGCGCCTCCAAGCTGCTGCAATGAAAGAGAGATTTGGGGGGATTTCAGAATATCTAAGCAGTTTAATAGTTAATGTCCTACTCATGTACATTATTCCTTAATAGGAATGTAATCTCTCTAGGTACATTCCCTCTTTCTGTGTGTGAGAGGATCCCCATCCAGTAAATAGTACTAATTTTTTCAGTCACCAAGTAGCAAATACCTAAAACAAAAACAAAAAAAATCCATATTCAAAAATACTGACTTGGTAATAGGAAATAATTTAAAGTCATACTGAAATGATATTTGTAATCACAAAATAGAGCATAGTCATTTTATTTTATTTTATTTTTTAATTTTTTGTTTTTTGTTGTTAATCCTCACCCAAGGGTATTTTCTTCATTGATCTTTCTAGATAGCATGGAAAGGGGGGAGGGAGGGAGAGAGAGACATCGATGTGCCTCTCTCACTCGATTGGTTGCCTCCTGCACAAGGATTGAACCTGCAACCCAGGTATGTGCCCTTGACTGGGAATCAAACCTAAGACCCTTCAGTCCTCAGGCCGACGCTCTAACCACTGAGCAAACTGTCCAGGGCAAGCATAGTGATTTTACATGCTTTGGAACTGAGACCCATTAGCAATGGGAATTTGTTTGCAGGACTGTGTAATACATGCATGGACATGAAGTAAAAGCACTCCCAAGATTACATACCTTTATACAGAACACAATACATTCCTAACAGAGTAAAAATCGCTCATTTCAAGAACTGTGAAGTTTAATGAAATTATAGAATTTTAAAGTTAAAAAAGGTCTTTGAGAAGTTCTATAGAAAACCTGTAGAGCCCGGCCGGTGTGGCTCAGTGGTTGAGTACAACCCATGCACCAAGAGGTCACCAGTTCTGCCCTGGCCGGTTTGGCTCAGCGGTTAGAGCTCAGCCTGCGGTCCAGAGCGACCCGGGTTCGGGTCCCACTAAGGGCACGTACCTCGGTTGCAGTTTGTCCCCGGCCCTGGCTGGGTCGTGCGGGTGGCAGCCACTCGATGTGTCCCTTTCACGTTGATGTTACTCTCTCTCTCTCTCATCCCCTCTCTCCCTCCCACTCTATCTGAAAAAAAAAGGGGAAAATGTCCTCGAGTGAGGATAAAAAAAAAAAAAGAGGTCACCAGTTCGATTAGGGCACGTGCCCAGGTTGTGGACCCAATCCCCAGTGGGGAGTATGCAGGAGGCGGCCAATCGATGTTCTCTCTCATCGATGTTTCTATTTCTCTCTCCCTCTCTTTTCATCTCTCTCTAAAAATCAATAAAGAAAAAAAAATTAAAAAGAAACCCCGGAGAAAGCGGGCTTACACAGGCGAGTCAGTGCACAGCTGGCCAAGCCGGCCCAGCGCTCAGGCCCGGTGCTCAGCTCCGTACGAAGCTGCTGATATCTAGGAGTCACTTCTATATTTAAAGTTAAAATTTTTTTTTAAGTCTATCTTTTGTTTGTGAGTTTTGTGCCTTACCTATTCTTCTTCAGGAGAAAAAAAATTTTGATAATCTTGACTTCACTATAGTTTTTGAAAGGGACGACTGCTGTGACCATTTATATAGCTAATAAGAACTCCACATGAGGTCACAATAGGAAAGTCTATTTTTATTTTTATCTGGAGAAGTGATCTAGTTGATCTGACTTACAATGGGCCTTGTATTGCTGGTGGAGCCTCACGGAAAACATCTTGGAGGGAATCAGCTGGTACTTCTGGGTTACTACTTAAGTCACAGTGGCAACAGAACCCCTGTGGGTACATTGAATCCTCATTTCTCTGTCTCCTCCAGCTTACTTCTTTCTCTTTGCCAATAGATATGAAGTGGTTCCCAGTCTAAAAATCACACCTGGCCCCAGCCGGTGTGGCTCAGTTGGCTGGGCGTTGTCCTGCACATCGAAAGGTTGCCGGCTCGATCCCAGTGAGGGGCACGCAGGAGGCAGCCGATCGATGTTTCTCTGTCATCGGTGTTTCTCTCTCTCTCTCCCTCTTCCTCCCTCTCACTCTAAAAATCAATTAAAAAAATCTTTAAAAACTAATAAAAAGTAAAAATAAAAATCACACCTGGCATTATAGAGAAGTTAGTGTCTGAGTTTTTTTTTAAATGAATGCTGAGGATCAAAGGCTTCAAACGCATAAATCTGAGTTCACAAATGTACATGCCAGTGTTGAAGTGGTATGTGACTGGCGTGAAATGACTTACTGATCATGCATTTAACCACAGGCTAAAAGACGGGTTACCTGTGACGGAGAAATCTGCACGCTATTTTGTTCATGGCTATTCATTAATTATTAAAGATGTAGCTGCTGAAGACGCAGGGATTTACACCATCTTGCTGAGCATAAAGCAGTCAAATGTGGTTAAAAACCTCACGACCACGCTAATCGTAAATGGTAAGTTTACTGTTCGGACTTTCTTCTGATTCTGGTAGGGATAAAACTAATGAAAATCTGCAAATCAAAAGTCAGTATACTAACATCAAAGAAAAAAATGTTTAGTAATTATCTTAAAATGTATAATAATTATTTTATGCCCCCATTATAACTATTTCATGTCTACTTGTCTTCCATAAGTAATATGGCTTATTATCATTATAATCATACTATTATGGGATCAATTTTTTAATGTTCTCAAAGTATGTCTACTTTAAAAATATTGGCATTATAATGGCAAATATGCGGGTTTAATTGTTTTTTGTTCATGTTTTTGCTTCCCTAACATCAAAACCAGGGACAATGTAGTCCTTCTGGTCGCGGCCTAGGAGCAAGGCCTTAGAACTTGACGTCTGTCCTGTTCTTCTCCTTTCCAGTGAAGCCCCAGATTTACGAAAAGGCTGTGTCATCACTTCCAGAGCCGATTCTGTACCCGCTGGGCAGCAGACAGATCCTGGCTTGTACCATTTATGGTGTCCCTCCACCGACAGTCCAGTGGTTCTGGCGTCCCTGTAACCATAACCACTCGAAAGCAAGGTAGGGACAGTTAGTTTCTTGAATAACTTTCAAATACTTTTTGTCACCTGGACTCGAGGTTCTTTAATGAACAGCGACGCGAGCTTGCAGATGGGCCATGCCGTGTCTCGGGGGGGAAAGACTTTGCCTGCGAAGAGGTAGGCAATAGCTGTTCTTCTTCCGCTCCTGTTTCTAATTTTTTTCTCCCTAGTTTGTAGTTTCAGGAGCACAGGGTCAGAATTCAGGCCACCCTGGGAGCCATGACTTAGAACTCAGGTTGGAATGCCAGCCTCCTGTTTTCCAGCAAGGGTCCCCTTTCTCGCCTTCTAAACCTTGGAAACGCTGAGATCTCCCGGCACTAGTGCTCACTGCCCTTCACGGGCTGTGTTCCTCCTCTTCCATCCGTCCGCAAGGCCCCTCTACCCATTTTCCATTTCCTGAGAAGTCCAGCTTCATCCTCCAGGGCTCAGCTCTCACGCTGCCGTCTCTGTGAAACCTCCTGCCTGCCTCGTCGGACTCCACGCTCCCTGCCCCAGGTGTGCGGCCCTGTCCTCCGAGCTCTGCGCTGATGGAGAGCTCGGCTTGTGTGCGCACAGTAGGTCCCGCTGTGTACTTGCTGAGTGAGTGCTGCCCCCTCTGGTGCGGTGCTCCCACACACCTCGGGGAGGACGGAGTCCTGTGGGCTTCCCCTCCATTTCTGTTCCGGTTAAGGAGTGGCTCTGATGATACAGTTCGCGGAAGCTGATGTGACAGACAGGAATAGAACTGGTAAAGAAGACAAGATGTGAGTGAGGTCGCCCAAGGTTGTCATTATGCCAGATATCTCCTTTCTGTCTTCTGACTCCACTTGCAGAGCGTTTGGGAGAATTGCTATTAAAAAATTTAGCTTGATAAAAGGTAAACAAGACAGACCTCTACCATAAACCGATAGGTGTGGCTGTTTGGTTTTCTAGATTCTTCTTGCAATTTCAGCCCTTCTTTATTTGGGGTTTTAATCAGTTGTTCAAGGCATATTATCCTGATGTTGAAAGTTACTGGTGAGTTATGGAATTCCTGAGAAGTAGCTGTTTTCATACATGTTTCGTATAAATTTCTCATCTGAAATATGGAGAACTTACAAATTTTGAATACCTCATTTACTCTGTGGATAGTTAACCCAAAAGAAAGTGAGAGTTACTGAGATTTTGTATTATTTTGCTAATTTGGGGGTAGGCATCCATATTTATGCACCTGTCCTTTTAAGACCAAAATATCTGTGCTAACCTAACATGTGAATACAAATAACTAAATAATTTAAGCTATTAGATTTGGATAAAAGTTTAGAGTTGAATTTTTATAGAGTAATATAGTCTTCTACAGATATTTTTAATTTGTTTTGATAATAGAAAATCTAAAAATTTAGTTCTATTTAGGATTAGAACTAGTACCTATATTAGAAAAAACCATTATGAGTGATAGAACATAACATTATAAAGTTAGATTTGAACAATGCTAATAAAATATTGTTTGGGGAGTGAGATCGGTTGAAGTGAAGCTTTGTAAATATTAGCTGTCTTTTTCCATTTCTGTGTGGTACATGGGACCCTTCTCCCATGGCACAGAGTGATGTTGCCAGAGCCCAAAAAGATGTCTTGTTCCTCTTGGTATTCTCTCAAAACCCGGAGCAGTGTCTCAAATCTTCAATAAATGTTTGTTGACCATTTGATTTATTCTTTGTTAAAAGCATTCATCTTTTTTTTTTTAATCAATCACAGGACATATCAAAAATGAAAACTTTAACTTTTTCAATGATGCCTCATTAAATAAAATATGTCATTACTTGAAATTATCTGTTGAAAATGTGCACATTCATAGAAGTTCTCATTTTTTAAGTCAGTAGACTGATTGAGTAGCTAACCTGTGTCAGGCCCAGATGTGGTGCTTGGTGTGAAATGGTCCATTTAACTTAGAAGCATTTCAGAAAGGTATATGGGACCTCTGTGCACTAGCGACAAATGAAACAATGCTATTTCACCCTGTCAGAGAGAGAAAAGCTAAAATTGACAAATCAAAGAAGCCCTCTTCAATTTTTTAAAATCTATCTATCTATCTATCTATCTATCTAATTTTTTATCCTCACCTGAGGACATTTTTCCATTTTTTGTTCAGATAGAGCTGGAGGGAGAGAGAGGAAGAGAGAGAGAGAGAAACATCGATGTGAAGGGACACATCGAGTGGCTGCCACCCGCACGACCAACCAGGGCCGGGGACAAACTGCAACCGAGGTACGTGCCCTTAGCGGAACCGAACCCAGGTGTCTCTGTACTGCAGGCCGACGCTCCAACCGCTGAGCCAAACCGGCCAGGGCTATATAAATATATTTTATATACTTATATTAACACTTAGATTCCATTGTAGACAGGAAGTTTAGCTAGTAACATTTGAATAAAGGATGTTCGATTACATACATTTAAAAAATTTATTTATTTTGAGTTACATAGTAACATATTTGTTAGTGGTATCAGTGGGCGATCATCAAAAGAGATTTGGTGATCAGTGTTCAGCAGGTCCTCAAATAGTTGTTTCATTCAATGTCGTTTCATTATAGCATTGATGAGGGAAAAAAACTGTTTCTAGCCAGGGCCACTGTGTGGAGATTGCCCGATCTGCCATGTTTTGTGGGTTTCCTGTGGGCCCCTGGTCCCCTCCCCCCCATAGAAGTGCGCACGCGAGGGAGCTAGCGGTCTCCGCTGTGCCGGTCGGAGTGGGTGTGGGCGGCCCTCCCACGGTGTCCTGCCCAGGGGGGTCCCGCCTGGGGCCCTGAGCTGCCAGAAGTGAAGTCAATTGCTTGGAAAACCGTTATCTTACTTTGTTTCTCTTAATTTTTCTTAAATGTATGTAGGGCTCACACTGATTTCAGTGTTTAATATTAGAAATGTGTGGGGCCTTTATTTAGAAGTTTGGTGGGTTTTTTTGTGACCAGACATATGCCATGGGAACTTAACTCTTGTCTATATCATTTAGCCTAGGGTAAAACTGGTCACGGTATATGTCATTTCACTTCAAGTCACAGTTTTCAAGAAGCTGTCAACGTTAAGTGAGGACTTGACTATACCCACTTTTCTCTTGAATATGTAGAAGAGACACAACCAACACATTGCTTTAGTTTTGAGGTTAGAATGTGTTTAAATAACGCAAAATTAGCCCTGGCCGGTTTGGCTCAGCGGTTAGAGCGTCCGCCTGCGGTCCGGAGAGACCCAGGTTCGGTTCCCGCTAAGGGCATGTACCTCGGTTGCAGTTTGTCCCCGGCCCTGGTTGGTCGTGCGGGTGGCAGCCACTCGATGTGTCCCTTTCACATCAATGTTTCCCTCTCTCTCTCTTCCTCTCTCTCCCTCCCACTCTGTCTGTACAAAAAATGGAAAAATGTCCTCGGATGAGGATTAAAAATAAATAAATAAATAAATAACGCAAAATTATTAATTGAGTAATGTATCTAAGTTAACATGGCCATCAGGTTAATGTATGTAAGCTAAAGAAATTCAGACTTAAATTGTATAGTTTCCTGAAGTCCAATAAATATATAAAACTACTGCTCAACTAGTTCATCCTTATGGATATTAAGAACAATAAATAATTTCACAGAAATGTCCTCCTTTAAAAAAAAAATATGATAACCCGGCCGGCGTGGCTCAGTGGTTGAGCATCGACCCATGCACCAAGAGGTTACAGGTTCGATTCCCGGTCAGGGCACATGCCCAGGTTGTGGGCCCGATCCCCAGTGGGGGGCGTGCAGGAGGCGGCCAATTGATGTTCTCCCTCATCGATGTTTCTATCTCTCTTTCCTCTCTCTCTAATATCAATAAAAAATAAAAAATTTTTAAATGTGGTAAACTGCTAACCTAGTTTTAACTGATTAACATGGTGGTTTGGGATTCACCCAGAATTTGTTCTTGAAAACCATGAGGAACAACAGCGAGGAGAAAGGGTCGTTACTTTTAAACTCATCCAGCCAGTGAGCTGAGAAGAAACAGAATCAGTCTCCCTTTTACTTTTCTGCATATTTGGGTGGTAAAGTTGTAGAACTAGAATCTTTCTTTTGAGCTTTTAATAAAATAGACACCCCTGAGCGGACCCTGTGTCGGCGCAGACCCCGGGGTCATGCATGAGCCTGCAGTGCCTTTTACATGTGTGTCGTTCACGGCTTCTGCTCACGTAAAACAGAGGTAACTGTGCACACTCCGAGAGAGGACACGAGGCTCACCGAGGCAGTGTGTTGGGGAAAGCCAAAGAGAGGCAGGGCTGTGATGACTGCAGCATTGGGTTCAGTGAGGCCCCGAAACTTTGAAAGAATTTTAGAGAAACTTTGAAAACATTTCATAACAGTGATCATTTCTACCTAACATTTCTGAGAGGTGAACACAGACTGTGAAAAGTAAAATGGAATTTGCTTTGCTCTAGAAATAGAAATTTAGTAGGTCTGGGTTGTAGAATGGAGGAAAGATAGCTTACGAGTTTTCAGAAGAGGGAAAATGAAGGAAATAGAGCTGAGTTAGGCAAAAGTTAAAATAAGACTGAACACAGTGCATGGTGAGGGAATGCTGTCCCCCAGTGCGTGGCCTGGTCCCTTCGCTTGTCTCCCGTCGGGAGGAAGTGGCTCTGACCTTGGGCTGGCTCGGGCTGGGCCGGCAGGGTGGGACCTGGGAAAGCTCACATGACCGTTCTGGAACTTGACGTCCCCCGGCTTTGAAGAGCTCAGTAGGCCTACTGTGCGCGCCGACTGTCTCGGAGGCGTGGTCCTTGGTGAGCTCTGCCACCACGCGGTGCCGGCTGGAAATGCTGCGTGGACGGGGTGCCCCCGGCAAGGAACCGGTCTCCAGAGGAGCAGTAACTCTCCTGGACTGGGGGAGGAGCCTTTCTCTGGGAACAGAAGGGATGGGGAAAGGGCAGTCTTGGCAGAAGTCCAGACTTTTAAAAAACATGTTTTTATTGCTTTTTTAGAGAGAGAAGGGAGAGAGAGATAGACACATCGATGTAAGAGGGAA